TGACAGATAATGTTTCTGACACAACCACAGCAAGAACTCCCCTGAATTAAAACTTCAGCTGCATCTTCAGCTCATTAGAACCGAGGCAGCTGGCAGCCATAATTAGAAAAGGAAATCTCCTTTCCACCCAAGACCTCACCCCATCAAATTCCTTTAGTTAAGGGAAAAAATAATGCCCCTTGGAAATCAAGTTTAAATTTATTCCCAGGCAGTTTATTTTACACAATTTGAATACCCAAGTAATTAAATACTGAATTTTAAATATGACAGTAAATGGGGGAAGTAGGAAGGGGAGATAGAGAATTACTATAACTTGTCCTTTATATTCTCCCTGAAAGACATCTGGTCTTGTAAATATTGAAAACTAAATACATTCAAGTAAGGACTAAAGAGGAATGAGTTATTAATTCTTCTAGCCAGGCTTTTAAGAAAGGAAAAACCCGAACCAAGCAACATTTTATGGCCTAGGCACGTACAAAACCAACTCACATGACTTACCCTATTTGGGTAAGAGAAGAACAGTTGTTTCTCAGGTCTTACCTGCGCATTGGCTTTCCGTCCATGCACCGTGAAGAGAAACCTTCACTCTAAGCTTCAAGACCTGATGCAAAAGGAGAAAGAGAAAAAAAAAAATGATTTCTGAAGGAAAAGAACCCTCTTGCCTCTCTTCAGTCTGCCTCTAAGACAACAGAACTGACCACAACCACATACTAAGAGCCTTCGAGCTCTTATCCAGCCATAAATTCACAGCCCAGATGAACAGCGCGTGGACTGCAGGGAATAAAGCCGGAGAAAACATCATCAAGAGGTATTTTCACCACGGCTGCATAAAGATTCCTTAGGCAAATGGAACACACACATCGTAAAGTCAGCAAGCCTCCCTGAATCCTTAAAACTGTTCTCCCAAAGGGAAAAATCTCTGAAGGAACAAGGGTACTCAGTCTCACTGCTTGCTCAGAGCCAGGAGGTATCTCTCCCTTACACATTTAGCAGAGATTTAAGGCAGGCTGGCACCTAATAAACAGCACAGCGCTGCTCACCAGCTACGCTGCAGAGCCAGAATTTGATAGAAGATAAAACTTGTGTCTGGAAACGGAAGATAACTCTGTGCCCCAGAGGTAAGAGGGATGCTAATAATGGTACTGCATCTGCAAAGATTGATGATGCTGCTCCACGATCACAACACTTCCATTCCAAATACTCATTTTCTGAGAGCAATAACAGCTGCAAACTGCCCAGGCCTTTCATATTCAACCATTAACTCCTAATTCTAATGTAAATTAACCCTTTTTACAAGGGCACCGCTGGTCCCAATTTTATTTTCGATGACTATTCACTCAGGAATAAATTTAATTCAATTATTACTTAAAGCAATAAGTAGTTTTTAGTCCAAAATAAGTAGTTTTTAGTCCAAAAGAGATTTACTAAAAGAGCAGAAAGGTGTTCTCTTTCCACAGTGATAGTCACAGGCTTTTGCCCACCCAGAAATGGAGTGAGAAATGGCAAACCACTGAAACTATGGGGAAAGTGCTGACAGAATGAGAATGAATAACCCTTAAAATAAGCACAAGGAGCAAGTAAAAGAGAAAACAATAAGTTTAGGATGGCTAAGATAATTTTGGGCAGACTGAGATCATCAGATTGGAGCTCGGCATCCACCAAAAATTTTGTCACAACTTCTATTAAACTACAAAATGGTTAGAGTTCCATTTGGCTGCATGAAGAACCTTATTCTATATGCAACACTCTCTAGGTACATTATCCCAGACACACAACCAGAGCAGATTCCCAGTTAATGAAGAATAAGCTCAGACTTGCTGTCTGCCGCACTTGCAAATTACTCAGCTTCATACTTTCCCGCAGATAAAGAAAGGCAATTCCTCCCGGTTAGTGCACCGCATACCAATTCCAATCCCAGCCCTGGCTGCCCCGACCACACTCTACCACCGCGGAGCGCCTGGAAAACCGACCCTTCCCGCATCCCGCGGGAGCAACACACCCTCCGGCCACGGCACCTCGCACACGGCTATTCTTAGCCCCCCGACTGCATCAGACCTAATGCCCTTAAACCCACATGAAAACCCGGAGGGGCGGAAAGACATCGAAGCTCGAGGGGCAGCAACAGGCTGCGAGGGACGGCGGCTCCCGGGACCGGCGGCAC